AGCTCAACAACAATCGCCACAATGGAATAACTATCAACAACCAGGAATGATTCCTGTAACTTTTTAGTGTTATTTGACTAAAAAATGAAAAAAAAAAACACAAATTTGTTCTTTAAAAATTTATAAAGTTAAGAGATAAACGATATTTCACCAAATAAATTAACAAAATGTAGATAGAAAACTTAAATAAAATTAATTTTTAGAAAAGACTTAAGAAAGTTTAGTTATTTCCAAGACAGATTAAATTCTGAAACGATCTAATTAATGCTGTAATTGAAATAAGTCAAAAAACAATTTTTGGTTAACTACTTTATTGAAATTACTGTTCTTGAAAGTTATTTTTGACTAAATTATAACTATTCTTTACAGTTAAAATGTATACAGATTAAATTAGCCTTTCTTCATGCAAATCGCATGCAAAACAAAAAATTGTGAAATTTATTGTACTCTAATGATATACTAAAAAGTTAACATTTTAGTCAATTTTTAGTCAATTAGTGATTTAATTTTTTACAGTTGCCTGCTAATAGTAATTTTTTAATTGATTCTAAAGGCAAATTTGAATAGGTGGTGAATTTTTGGAATAGTTCCTTTAATCAAATGTGTTTTTTTATTTTTTTATTTTTTTTTTTTGGTTACTGTCGCTTTAGGCTCCATCGCCAGAGCTGCAACGTCCACAACCGATCCAGCCAACTCAGGTAGTTCAGCAACCAACTCAAGTAGTCCAGCAGCCAACTCAGGTTGTTCAACAGCAACCAGGAGCTACTGCTCAATGCCCATGTCCGGAAACAGCTTGTGTTTGCGTATCAATTGGTGTCGGTCAAAACCAGGTCACCAACGGTGTACAGCAGCAACCCCAACCACAACCAACAGAAGTCATTTCATCTGCTGCTTCATCGGTAGAGATAGTACTATCAAATCTGTGTGCCTCTTTTCCTCGCATGTCTTCTGGTGCAGATCGCTTGATTCTACAATTTGTCGTTGCTATACAACGATGATCTATTGACGGATGGACGAAAATTATCTACAACTACATGTTTACGAGAATTTTCACTGCAGTTCTACTACTGTATCACTCCCATTTAACAGTAACAGCGTTTGATGTTTGCTGTGTGTTCAACCTTTACAGATATAATTTCTACTTCCTTTTTCTTTACGATTCAAATAAGTAAGGAATTTTGACAACTATAAAAAGAAAACATGTCAAATTTTATGCTGTTTTTAGACTTAAGCTAAAAAATACTTTTCTTTTAAGTTTCTTCCCCTTTTTTTTCAATTTTTTTCTTAATTAAAAAGATTTGTACACAGTGCAAATTGTTCTTTAACGTTTCTTATTAAAAGCTTTTTATGTAGTTAGAGATTTTTTTTTGAGTTACACACGCCACGGTTATTGTTCCTAAAAATTCAACTTCTAGTAGTGTCTTCTAAGCTGTGTTTAAAGTAATAAACGTCATTTTTTAAAAAAAGTTTTTAAATTTTTGAAAAAATTTGAAGAAATTTTGAAAAAAAATTTAAAAAAAAAAAACGTCACTTTTGTATTTGTGTACCAAACTAAATTAGATGCATGATTTTCTACTTTTCTGTTAAAATTATCGTGTGCAGTTGCTTAATTATAACTTTTTTTTTAAGACAGAAAATTGCTGTTTTTTATCAACTATATTTGCTAACTGTGATTAATCTGATCGATGCCACCTATCTTTTTTGGTCTAATAATACAAGTCAAGTGTTGAACAACACTACGTGCTGCTTTATTTCGTGAAAAGCTTGAATTTTTAGAGACTTATCTCATAGCTGTTGCCTTCTTTTTCTTGCAGCAATATACTCAACAACAACAACCACAACAGCAACAGTCAAACTGTCAAACTACAACAACCCAACAACAATACTGTCCGCAAAACGACCAGGAACAGTATATTGTACAACCACAACCATGTCCACTGGGTTAGCTACCGAGAAATTCTCTTACAATTTATCAGCTTAGAAAATATTTATTTTTGATTATTTGAACACAAAAACTGAACACAATGATGTTCAAAAACTTTTTATATTTAGAACCAGCTCAAAAAATCCGATCCTCTTTGCAGCTTTTTATTTGAACAAGCTTACAGCTTTCGATGACACCAATACTTACCCATAGAAGTGATAATAAATTTTTTTTTAGTCCAAGGCCAAAGTACATCAAACGCACAATATCAGGGCATCTGCTCTTGGATGGTTGATCCGCTAGCGACTGATCCACAAAGTAGGACTCACTACTTGCAGTGCCAACCAGCTCCAAACAACCTATTTTGTGGTAGATGGCAGAGAATGCCCTGTGCGCCTAGCACAGTCTTTGATGTTAATGCACAAGTCTGTGTCTGGGATCCAAGTAAGTGTGATTTGATTTTCTTTTTAGCGTGATTTTAGATGACTGCTTGAAACCTCCAAACTTTTAGATTCAACTGCTCTACCGGGAACTGTTCCAGTAGGTGAACAAGTCAGCCAGTCAGCGCAGTATCAACCGCAAGGACAGTTTCCGACTCAAGGACCAGTTCAGCAGTATTCAACTAACGGCGTTACAGCAGTACCAATAACCGTTTCAACAACACAGCCGGCTACTTGTTCATGCACTGGTGGTGTACTGATTGGATCGTGTAATGTAAACTATCAGTGCCCTGGTCAATCAGTCTGCCAAGTTGGAGGTCAAAATGACCAACAGGTTAGCACTGCAAACCTACCTTATTTTTCTTCGTAGTAAATCTTTCTATTCAGAAAAAAAAACTACTTTAATTTTAGAAAAACTGGTATATTTTATTTACATTTTTTACGTTTCTGTGTTTTAATTGTCGTTAAAACACTTATAGTTGTTAACAGCTTGAAAATTTATTAGATTATTGTATTTTACAAGTATAGTTTCGTTCTTTCTTTTTTTTCAGTGTATGGTATGTTGTTACTTCCATCAGCCAAGGCAATAACTGCGGATAATCGTTAACGTATTTGTACAGACTGATGAATGCTCAGAAAAATAAGCTCAGAAGCTGCACATTTTTAAATTGCATTTTTAATTTTTTAATTTTTTTTCACACAAATTTTTATGGTGCTTTAAGCAGTTACATATTGTTATTTGACAGAAAAAAGTGGTTAAATTTTAACTCTCTCCTCCCCCTTCAGTAAAAAAAAAAAAAAAAAAACTGTATCTAATACCTATGTTCTGTATTACCAAATTGTTTAGTTAATTGTTAGTCAAACAAAACTATACCAAAAAAAAAAAAAAAAAAAAAAAAAAAAAAAAAA